AAACCGAATACATGGAAAGTAATTTTAGTAGTAATAGCTCTAGTGACATAAGAGTAACTTTGGGCGATCAAATTATTAAAAGGGGTGAACGATTTAGATATTTAGATACGATTTAGATATCTCAGGTTTGTTGTTCAAAGCGATGGTGATATAGATGGGGATGTTAATAGTAGAATTCAAGTTGGTTGGTTGAAGTGAAGGAATGCTTCGGGCCTTTAATTATAAGATGGTGGTGAGCCCTGCAATGCTTTATGGCGCAAAATGTTGGCCTTTAAAAAAGAAAGCATAAAACAAAGTTAAGTATTACTGAGATGAGAATGCTTAGAGGGATGAGTGGCTTGACACTTTGAGATAAATGCGAAACAATCAATCCGTTGAAGGGTTGGTGTAGCTCCAGTGACAGACATGATTAGATAGAGTCATTTGAGATGGTTTGACACATTAAACGCTGACCATTTGATGATCCGGTTAGGGGAATAGATGTTTTAGACTCAACTTATGTTAAGAAAGGCAGGGGTGGACCAAGGAAGACTTGGGCTTATTTTATAAAAAATGATCTTAATTTATTAGAACTGAATGAAAATATGGCACTAAATAGAACGCAATGGAGGAAAAAGATTCATGCAGCCGACCCCACGTAGTGGGATTAAGGCTTTGTTGTTTGCTTAGTCACATGTGGGACAATTATTCTTGAAGTCCAAGTCAAAGAAAAATTTATGAGTACAGAGTTTAGCTTTTAAGCACTTGGTGATCTCTCATTTCCAGTCATCATAAGCTTCTTTCTATCACTTCTAATAACATTAGCAAAAGTGTCAGAACCTAGCCCGGAGCTTGGAATTAACCAAGACGGAAACGATCAATCGAACGGTGAAAATAAATTCTATGTTTTTCTATTTTTAAAGATCAAATATAGAAAGCAAATTTAGATAATAAGTAGAAATTTGTACCTTTTCAATTGTTTTTCTCGCCTCCTGTGCCCAATTGATTCTCTTATCAAAAGCTTAATACCTTAATAATATTGAAACAATATAATGAGTTATCTAAAGATAATCCTGGAGCAATCACACTTTTAAACTACAGTAATCCGAGAAAAAAAAATCAATTGCATGATAGTCTTTTATATCTCTATGAGAAATATTTTACAATGTTAATCTTTCATAAGAAATCTTTAAATATACTAATGCATGCATCAATGACTTTTGTTAAATGAAAATTACTCTAAATTTTTATATGCATTAATTTTAACTTTAATTTTACTTTATACTTTGTACATACACATCTATTTACTTTGAAGATCACCATTAAAACAACTAACACACTCTTGGTCGATAATCCTGTCGGCTCCTGTCGACACAACGGTTAATGATAAAAATATCATAATTGTCTAAGGTGAAAAGACCATAATCTGCCGCTAACCAATATTTTCCCATCAGCATGGCGATTAGTAATTTATATATCACAACTGTCTAGAGTGGTAAGCTTTATGTACTCATTTTTGGTCGATATTATCTCATCGGCACAACGATTAATGAACAAACTATCACAATTAGCTGGGGTGGTAGAAAAATCTCTACTCACGCGGGTACACTGGCTTCTCTTGCCTATACAATTATGGGGTAAACTCCTCTAACATGCACATACAAGCATTCATGTATATCATATTTTTGTTTCAAACTTCAAAGCAAACGTTACTTTCATGTAAAACTTGTATTTATTAACTAAAACTCATGCAGCTCAACTAAAATCTAAGGTCATATGATAATCTAAAAGATGAAGTTTTACTCTAGTTCTAAAGGTCAAATCACAATCTGACATATATATCTAGTCATACAATGAGCCAGGATATACATCTTTATTAGAAAATACAGATCATGTAGTAATCTGATATTTTCATAAACTAAATTTTATGCAACTATTAATACAACAACATTTAGCATACATATATCATGACTAATCATATGAAAAATTATTTGTGATTTAATTTCATGATGCAATTATTTAACATACATATTTATCCTATCGGACAATATGAAGAATTTACTATAATATAAATCTCACTGAAATAGAACATAGATGAAGTTAAATAAACAAAATAGAAATGATGAAAAATATTTAAATTCAGAAATATATTTACACACCTCAATCTTTAGTAGCTCTCTTTATTTGCTTAATCCTCCACTAAATTGTATCGTCCATCTTTTGCTGATCTCAATTCTAAAGAGCCTTCGTTCACACTTCCAAATTCAATAAGTTTTAAAACAATAATTTAAATAAGCATATCATTAATTCTAATAATAATATAATCCTTAACATTTGCCTTCTAGCTTCCAGATCAATCTCCTCCCTTACTCGCATGCAATGTTTTCATGCTAGGCTCCCTAACCACAATAAATATAATTTCATATTAACATATTAATTATATTTCAATTTAATGTTTATAAAATTATAATAAACAATTCTAATACTAAAATTACCTCAACTCGCAAAATAGGGTTTTGATAGGTTTCAGTTCTCCACTTTATGCCCTCGATTCGTCCTCTTCTCTTGTACAAAAATTTGCATATCGATGCTCCCTCAAATTCAGGACTTAATAGCTCCACTCCTAATAAAAATCAAACTTTCTATTAGCATTAAGTTAATAAATATGTATATATACACAACTTTCTTATTTAACTAAATTAAAATCTTAACTTACCTGAAATAACCTTTGGCTAACCCTAAAGCTCAAATGAATCTTGTCTCGCAGGGTAGGATCGGCTCCCGTTCCCACGCGCGCATCTTCCTCTTCTCCTTCTTCAATCTCGCTCAACAAGGGTCAGACTCTCTCGCAATGAAGATGTCTCATGCCGTAGCTAGGGTTCATCCTTACTGCCTCGATGTTGATCGCCTTCAAAGCTTCGGGGTAAGTGAAGCACTCGACTCTTCTTCCTCCTTTTCTAGATCTTTGTTTCTTTTTTCTTCTTCTCAGTTCAACTTTTCTCCTTCTAGCTGCACCCAACTCTTTTGTCATTGCTTCTATCTCTCGTTTTTTTTCTTCGTGCTCACTCTATACTCCTTTATTCGTAAATTGGGACGAACGATTTAATCCATGCGAAGAGATGTGTCTCTCGTAACATACACTTGTTTCTAATTGTTTTTTTTTTAGTTATCACAAAAAGCTTCACGAGTAGATAGAAGACACGATCCTCCCTCTCACTTCATCCAATTCCTTAGTCCCGCTAGAAATTTGAAAATTTTCTTCTCCTCAATTATGAATTTATACATCACAACATCATGTGGATATTTCCACACATATGTCAAAAACATATCCAATTGTAGCTAACACTTTCTCAATATGATGAAATATTTAACACCACTTAGTTCTCCTTGACAAAGATCATGTAGTTTGATTTCGATCTCAAACAACTCTGCAGCATTCTCAGTGTTGGAATAAATTTCTCTTATAGCCTCCCAGATTTCTTAGATTGTTTTGTTGAGCATGAAATTTTCTCCTACTTCAGTGGTCATTAAGTTGACTAGCCAAGACAAGGCCATATGGTATTGAAATTTCAATGTGTGATGGTTAGGATTAGCGAGCTAAAAAATTTTGCTCTCTCCCGTAGAGTGTTCCTCTTTTCCTTTTCAACAAATGTACACAAACACGGATTGGGGCCACTGAAGTTTATGGTTTATGATAAAAGAAGAGAGTTTCGGAGTTGTTTGGACAAAATTCCTGATTTCTTATTCAAAAATAACTTCCGGAGTAGAAATAGGCATCTTCATTATGTAATTGGTCATAAACCTTATGCGTATCTAGAGTTGAATAAGGGAGTTGACTATTAATTGTTGCAAGAATGGAGGTTGCAACTGCAGAAGTCAAATGATTATGATAAGGAGCATAAGTGGATATACAAGTTGGTTGAGGTATTCTAGCGGCTGCAGAAAGGATTCCAGTTGTTGGACGGTTGTTGGAGAGGCTCCGACGGCTGTAGAATCGAGGAAAGGAAGGTTTGTAGGCTCGGTGCGGCAGTTGAAAAAATCCAAAGGCTTTAAAGTCTTCAAAAAACAGATGTCAAAAGGCTCGACCTCAATCGACAGCAATCGAACGACCAATGTTGAAGCATGAAGACAAAGCAAAAGTCAAACGCTTTGATCCCTTCGATCCCATGCACGACTGCTTCGTCCAAAGGCTGCGATGTAGAAAGTGCAGATGTGGGACCCATTCGAACAATAACGTGGAAGATGCAAACGGCGGTCCTCGAAATATTCGAACGGCGCTGAACTAAAGAGCAGGCGAGACAAGTCATACCTAGGGCTCTAATACCATGAAAAAAAAAATGTGAGGGAATATTCAATTATCATTACCAATCTTCAACCATAAAAGGCTACATATATAGAGAAATCAGTCTCTCTTAATTTACATTATTACCAAATATACCTCAACTAAACTTGAAAAGGAAATAATTCTAAAATAAACATAAATAGGAAGAGAATAAAAACTAATCAAGGAGTTTACCAAATTGTCTGCAATTAATCCATCCATCACTCCTTGGATGGTCAGCCTAGGTCCTTAATGAATAGGAGGCCAATCCTCCTAGATTTCCATAGATTTGTTTAAAGAAAGAGAAAAAATGCACTCTAAAAATCCAGAACTTAACAAAGGTAGTTCCAAGCTTCCATGATACATTGCTCAACTCAAATGCCAGCTCAATGTCCATGAAATGAATATAAGATTATTCTTTTGTCAAACATACATGGGTGGATAAAATGAAGGAAAAAGAAAAAAAAAAGTAAACAAAAAAAAAAAGCAATATGAATACAAGTTGTTTAAAAAAAATTGAAAAGGTCAGACTCAAAACCTCCCCATGATGATGACATGATAACAACTTCCAATATCAAGCAAAAAAAGATGACTTCAGTTAGGACTTTCAAAATGTCGTAACTTAGGATGATGCAAATGGCACCTTAGTCTAGATTTGTTAGAACATGTTAGGTACAACAATTCTTCAAAAAATCCCAACCTGATGCCACCTTTGCAAACGTGGCATATGAGCTTTCCTCGAAAGGATTAAAAACCAATCTAGCAACTAAGCCTCCTGAGATGGCAAAACAAGAAAATCTTTGTCAATAAACAAAAGTTTCAACCAAAATATAAGAAATCTCACAAGGATAAGAAAAAGCGCACATAAGATACATGCCTAATTTGTCCACTAGGCCATAGATAGCTTGATTGTAAGATGAATCAAACCACATAAGTACCATCTTTTCTCCTTCCTGAAGTAACAATTTCCATGAAGCTTGACCAGTAAGTAAAAGGCACATGTAACGCAACTGTTTATCATATTCAAGATTGTTGCATAACCTGAAAAACAATATGGCAATATGCTTTTTATGTTTCAAATTAATTTTAGAGGTTTTTGCTCAGGTAAAATATGCGGATATTGAAAAAGCAGATAATATGTGCAGATTAAAAACTTACAAAATAAATGTAAAGGATAACGAGAAAAGAATACCAGCTAGTTACCTAAAAGGGAATAGATAACTGCTTCTTACAATCCGAAATGAAAGGAAATAAATCCAATATCCCAAAGCTACGCAAGCACCATATGAAGCCTGGGAGACAGCAAAAATGATTGCCATTTCCTGAAAGAAAAAAAATGATATGCATATCACTAATAAACAAAATTCCCAGCTGCCCATAGACATTAGTGCAATGAAGAACTTTCATGGCCAAGTTAGAATTAGAGTGATATATTAAGTTTATTTTGTGCCAGAAACGTTTCATAAGAAAAAGACCAGGCATCATCCTATCAAAAGAAGAAAAATAAAAATACAAGGCATGGAAACTAGACCTCATGTATATAACAAACTTCGTGGTATGACAAGAAAATTAAAACAATTCTTTGAGACAATGAAACGAACAGTAAGTAACCATCACACCTGAAGCCTGCTGAATGTCAACTACCCAATATAACATAAGTACGAGTAACAAAGGAAATGCGGACGAACATTATAAACTAACCATTTTTAGGAGAGAAACATGGCTTAGTTATAGTTTAGGAAGGAAACATGGCTTCACGTGAACAACTGGCTAATGTAAAAATTTCATTATTTCATTTTCAAAAATCAGAATGATTCAACAAGGCACAATGGAGAAAGCTTTAGAAATCTTGGGATGCGTCCCCTAAAATTTCACTTTATTCAGAACATGTTTCTTAAAAAGTGCAAGTAGATAGATTTTTACCGTGAATGTGCTTCGGAACATTAGAGTGCAAGTCGTCACACATCGAACAATAGTTGCAACAGTTTCAATCATCAACCTTAATCTTAGAAGTAGTAGATTCTGTGAAAGTATATACAATGGCTCTCCCAATAGCTCCAATAGACAAGCAATTCCTGACAGTTTGTTCAAACTGAATAAGCACTAATTTGCAGGTACAAAATATAGTCTAAACTAAAGAAAATAAATAAGGATGAAAATGGAACACCAGAACAAAAACACTTCCAATCACTTCCAGAGATATAAAATAACTCTCTATCCAACTTCATGCAAGGAAAGCCAACAACAGTTAACATACAGAATAATTTCATCAACGCTAGCAAACAGAATGCTAATTGCACAACCCACAAAGAAAAAAACTTACAGTACTTCACATACATAATACCTATGTAATTTGATCAAAATCAGCATTAACAAACAATCATTTTTCCTTGTTGACGATTGCAACCATGAAAGAATCACCACAAAAGCAATAGAAGTACAATTCGAGATATTTGAGAGTCTTTTTATACTTTGTTTAAGATAAAGAGCAGCATCAGTAAAAGACGTTTCTAGATTTGGTAGGTAAAGCTTTCCAATGATTCCCAAATTGCAGTTAAAAATTAAATTTACGATCTTAAAATATTGAAAGCAGAAAAAATTTAGGAGTTTTTACCTTCAAATATCTAACGGGAAATAATCCTAACCAACAGTCTAAATAAATCTGCTAGCTTACATAAATTTTGTGCTATGGCAGAAAAATCATGCATGCATTTAATAGGATTTATACTACTGCAGCATGTGGTTCAAAATGAAATTACCATTTATCAGTATGGCCAATGCAATTGGATCGGAAATAGCATCCTGAAAAGAAAGCTTCTCAATCCAGAAGAAAAGGCTGCATAGAGCAGAAGCAAAAAGGAAGCCAAAAGGAATAGTCAGCCAGGCCACTTTCAGCAACCTTGTTACATTTTCATCCATTCTTCCAACACTGCAACATAGAAAATGGTTAATATGAAATCTAAAAGTCAAAGAAATATTCTACAATAGGCATTTGTCATACAGGTGATAAAATTACTTAACCTCTGCCAAAACTTTCATATTTTCATAAAATGTTGGCTTACGGGTCATGAAGGAAGAAAAAGTAATGCAAGAAGGAAAATTACTTAACCTCTGCCCAAACTTTCTACATATTTTCAGAAAATGTTAGCTTACGGGTCATGAAGGAAGAAAAAGTAATGCAAGAAAGAAAATTACTTAACCTCTGCCCAAACATTCTACATATTTTCAGAAAATGTGGCGTACAGTAATTGCCAGAACAAAAGAATAATACTTCAGACACTTTTCTACCAAGAAATAAAGTGCAGCACTTGCACAGTAAGATTCTAAACGCAAACGTATTAGATAAAAACTTTCCAAAATATTAAAGGGAAATTAAAAGCAGAAGTGATTTCACATAAAGTTTTTTTTTTTCTTTTTTTCCTTTTTCCATGAACAACTTCACAGCACTAGTTATCCAACAAAAGAGGGAGCAAACTTTTTTGTCTTTCGGGTGGTTTGGGAAGTTGTTGGGGAGGTGTATTTGCAGCACGGACATGCAATAATAGGGAAGTTCTACAACAGCAAGCATTGTCTGAAAAATTATATCTACATAGGAATTGGATTAGAAAGAATCACCATTTTATATCTATTCGCATGCAAGCACGGCGAAAGCCCTCCCGACTTAGAAACAGGATACATGTAGTTAAAAGATGAAACTTTACTGCATAAAGCTGTAAAAATAAAATTTAAAAAATTAGTAAACCTGAAAAAAATATACAACCAAATTAAAAACATTGGATGGAAAGAGAAATACAAGAAAAATCAGAAAAATAAGAAGAAAACAGGAATGTGAAGCGGGGGAAAGGAAATAATTCTTAGTTTGCGACAAAGGATTATTTTCGAGGCATGATTGAATAAAAGTTCAGCTACAATGAATCAATTATCATTGTAAGGATCACTTAACGGTGAACAACCAAACAAAATAATACAAGATTGAGGAATAAAAGTTTTTGTTACAGCAACAACAACAAGAAGCCTTTACCCCACCAAATATGGTTGGCTAAATGAATCTTTTTTCTCCATTACGTCCTATTGAGTGTCATATTTTCATTTAATTCTAAAGATTAAGATCATTTTTTATACAATTTGCCCAAGTCTTTTTAGGTCTACCTCTGCTTTCTTAACATAAATCGAATCTAAAACATCTAATCTCCTAACAGGATCATCAAATGGTAGGCATTTAATCTGACCAAATCATCTAAGATGACTCTCTCTAATCTTGTCCGCAATTGGAGCTACACCAACTATATCACGGATATATTCATTTCGCGTTTTGTCTCTAAGTGTCAAACCACTCATCCACTTAAGCATTCTCATCTCAGCAATACTTAACTTTGTTTTATACTTCCCTTTTAAAGGCGGCCAACATTTTACGCCATAAATTACTGCAGGTTTCACCACCAACTTATAGAATTTTCCTTTCAATCTAAGCATTACTTTTCCATCACACAATAGGCTTGATGCATACCTCTACTTCAACCAACCAGCTTGAATTCTACTAACAACATCCCCATCTATATCACCATCACTTTGAACTACAGACTCGAGATATCTAAAAAGATCACTACTTTTAATGATTTGATTCCCTAAAGTTACAACTGTCACTAGAGCTACTACTACTAAAATTACAGTCCAAGTATTGAGTTTTAGATCTACTCAAAGGAAGGTCTTTAGACTCCAATGTACCACCATAATTCAAGTTTTTCCTGAACTCTTTCTATAGTCTTATCCCAAGAAGAATATCATTAGCGAAAAGCATACACCAAGGTACATCCTCCAATAAATGTCCAGTAAGAGCATCCATAACTAAAGCAAAAAGATATGGGCTTAAATCCGATCTCTGAAGTAATCCAACTTACATAGAAAAATACTTGGACAATTTTCCTTTTGTTTGAACACAAGTAACAGCTCTAGTAT